TTTTTAAATAAAAATAAATAAATTTTAATTATTAAAAATAAAAAATTAACTTATTTGATATAAATATAATATATAAAATTTATATATAAATAAATTTATATTTACTTGTAAATATCTTCTTTTTTTATTTTATAAGTAGAATATGTAATTATTCGAGTCCTGATGGTTGTTGCTTACAACAAACAACAAATGAGTTGGACTTGTCAGAGCACGCCTCCTCATATCAATGAATCTTGATGATTTCTTTTTTTATTAGTTGGATCTTTCATTAGAAAATATGGTTACTTGAAGGATGGATTTAGGTCATTTACTTTTATACATCAATGAGAACATAATAAAGTTAAGATTAGAGATCATGATAATTAGTGTTACCTGTGACTTTAGCATAAGAAATTGAAAAAATGGATGAGGATAACCAAATTAAGCCAACTAAATTACAAGTGGCGGTCCATCCGCTTATAAAGTCAATTTAAAAACAATTTAAAATAAAAAAATATCCTAATTAAAGTAAAGAGTCTTTGCTAATAAAGTTATACGTATTTGTTAGAAAATTTAGATATTTTCATTTTATATCTCAAAAAGAATATAACTTAATCAAAATAAAAAATCTAGATGGTATACCTGTATCTTTCACCAGAGAAATTGCAGAAAATGAATAATGATAACCAAATCAGTTAGGCCAAGAGAATTAGACGTAGCAGCAAATCAATTCAATTGCAATGCTAATTCTGTTAGATGATAAAAATTGTAGCCAGCTAAGCAGAAGAGGAGAGAACTTGTCCAAATTATAGCTAGAAATTTCCTCGAAGATGCCTGAAAAATGCCAATGAAATGAATCTGCAAAATGATATCCAATGAGATTACAATAAGAAAGGTGCAGAATTAGTTTATTATTATAAAGTGATCAATAATTGTGCAACTGCTTCCTAGTATAACATACAAAAAAAAAACCTAGGCATGGAAGGGGAAAGACAAAATGATAACATATAATTACTTCGTCATATGTTAAATTTTGATTAATTTATTTTAATTAAAATGAAAGGGGAAAGACAAAAATAATTATTTTTTTATAAATTATATATTTAAAATGATATTTTTAATTTTATTGATAAGTTTATAGTTTA